GTTCGGCCCGGCTTTGACAGGGAGCCCACGTCAAGGGCTGCCTCGCGCATATAGACACTGGCCAACCTACGTGTGACAGTATACCGAATATGGGGGCAGGGAGAGTGGTGGAAGCGGCAGTGGGAAGGAACATGTAGGTATGGGAGGAGAATTGCAGCAGTCCTGGGTGGAAAACTTAAAGTGGCCGCTACTGTAGGTTAAATATGACGACTCGGAGACAGAAGAAAAATAAACACTTGAATTTATTTCCCCCACGAGCACGCTGCAGAGGCTAGGAATATTTCAAAGCATAGCTCCGAAACCGATGCTACTATAGGGTGGTTCCTACCTTCTTTTTTGTTCCTCATTCAGCATCCTCTCCAAAAGGGTGCAACGATAATCCTGCAGTGAAGAAGCGGCCTCACGATATCTCTCCTCCAACGTGGTCTCTTAGTAGAGGAAAAAACTTGCCGCAAGTGCGATGGGCCGGTGATGTTAACGAACATAAAAGGTTAAAGTTAAGTTGGTCGCCACCGTGGATACTCCTAGCCCCAAAATTCAGTGGTAGATTAGTTTTTACGAATTGAGTTTAGTAGTTAAATTTAAATTTGAATTTAGTTGAGTTTTTGGCTTGTAAGTTCAATTTCAGTTTTAGTGCAGTTTAGTTTAGTTTTTTACTTTAACCTATAGTAGTTATTTAAGTATATTTGTCGAACGTCGGTGGTATCTAAGTCAACTAAAAAATAAACCAAAAAAATAAACTTAAAACAAAAGGAAAACTAATTGAACCAAAAGCTAGCACAGGGCTAGGGGTACCTAAGCTGGGCAACCAACCTAAATTTTATCGCGTAAAAGTCCATGGACAGAAGGTGCCGCTATGGGGTGCAGAGGGAATGCTTTGATTAATAGGAAAGGGAAACGAATTCTTACATTACTATGCTATTTGAAGCTCTGTGAAATGTTATAGCTAGTGTATCCCTGAAGTAATAGAATACCACCGCAAGAGGCGGCAATGCTTACTGACTGCTCCTCAAATAGTGTAGTTGATTGCTTCAATTGCTGCCAGGAAGTCTACTCCAGAAGGGTATCTGTTGCAAGAAAAGGAAGGCTAAATCGAGCATCAGAACACCTAATAAAAATCGACGAGGTCACTTTTGGCGGAGTGCCATAAGTACATTCAACAGTTTATTTTGGGTGGAGATGCACCTGCCGAGAAAAGCGACGGCGATCCACTGCAGAATTATCGGAGCAATGGCTTATGTATTAATGGTTCACGGGTTTTGGGAGTGTGTTAGGGTACCGATGTTGGGTACTCCTATATACAGAAGTTAGATGCTGCTAATCTTAGACCTATCATTTAACCCGAAGTGGACGCAGGTTCACCAATACATCTTGGTAAATGTTCGGCCTATCGACGACTTCATCAGGCTTGGTACGATAACAAAAAAATCAATCATGCGGACATTTACATTGATCAGATTACAGGTGTGCATACCCAGCAAATTCATAGGACTTGATTAGACGGAAAGAAAGACATTCGCGGAGTTCTACGGCGTTTGCTTTAGGGACACTTGGATAAACAGTGCTGATGTGCTTTGAAAGGAGATCAAGACCACTTCTCAGCAATCCTACGCGATATTAAAAAAGACTGTTATATACGTGTTACCATAAATATGCAGTTTGAAATTCCTGATAGAAAATGAAACGAGGCATAACCAGTCCACACGTTTACTGACCTGATGGGTGTATTGCTACAACAAAAACTTCCTTTGATGGCCGGATGTGGAACCCTATCATGTGTACCACTACCTACCTCGACACACCCCTCAGTTTCATACAGAAAGACGTCATATCACCAGTTTTGTATTATGCGGCATCTGAGTCTGAACTGCCAGTCGTAGCGGCTGTTTTCGTGAGGTCGAAATCTCCGCGATAAGACGTATTTGTTGCTTGATTATCGTTATCTAATTCGGATTAACATTTCGTAATAAAGCCGAAATATCTTAAAGCTAATGCGGATTTTTGAAGTTTACTACTAGGGTAGGAACCATGCACTAATAAACCAGTTTGGGAACCGATAAATAGGTAGTTTCGAGAAACAAAAAGCCAGGAATTTTTAATACGTAAACAAATATGCTTGAGAGCCCGGCCAAGCACGGAAAATATTTTTGCGAAAACTTCAAGGTCAGCGGGCTGCTCGAAAGACCAACGTAGTCAATCTCCTATTGCATGCGTATAATCATTGAATAAGGTTTAAGGTCGAATAAACTCTGGGTTTGTTCTTCTGTGGCAAAAGACAGAGACACTTCACTTTTACCAAATACCTTGTATCTGTTTTGTATGTCTCATGGGGTGAACAGCCGGCGTGCATAAATTTCAAATAGCATGCGTTTCTTCAAGAAGTATTCATGTCACTAGACAGAAATTCACCTTGGACTTTGTGCTGGCTGGATTTACCACACACGATGTTCGCAAGTTCAAACCTGAACTGCCCTTAGCTCAAATGAGACAGATGCACATGCCTGGGACGGCAGAAAGAACTATAAACGTGAATTGATTAATTTGTCGCTTTTTATATTCACAAGATGCAGGTACGCCATGCAAAACCGGTGCACAACCTGTATAACAGATCATGTTGCTCAGCCCTTAAATATCACAAAACAGAGGCCCACACAGTGGAAGCACCTTGATATACGCTTCGTTATTCTTTGAGAACTTTGTCTGCTTTTAGATCCTTATAAAGAAAAGTGGGATGCTTAGTAAGCAGAAACGTAAAAGAACATAGGATTTTATGTCTGGCAGGATGCCCTGGAGTGAAGAACTTCAGCCCTTTAACATTCCGAGGGAGATTCTGGAGAGATTAATACCTGGACGCCGAAGCCCCCAGCCCTTTAACCCGAGCTCTGGCAGTCTGTCCGTCAGCCTAAATACGGGTTATTCTAGCCGTCAAGAGTAGTAGTTAATGCAACGGTCTTCAACAAGGTGAGCTGCCAAATAATCCGGCTATAGAACTTGAATTGGTGAATAGTCGCGGAGGATGTGGCGATACTATTGTGAAGCATGCCTGTGCATGGAGCTGGCAGCTTGGTAACCTAAGCGATCACAGCTCGTAGCGGTATTGCAACAGAGTCAATGTTACGGCCAACCAATAAGCTCTCATACAGCAACAATTCGGTATAATGTGCTGAATCCTTAAACTGGTGTGCCGGAGGGACGGATAGATGCAGGTACTCCAGAAAACCGCCTCGCCACTGAGCAAGCCATCGCCCATTCGGGATATTCGAAGACTTGTCCTCTGGCGGGACTTGCGGAGGATCAGTAGTTCCGAGAGGAGCAGCTGCCCTATTAACGACTGCTACTCGCTTGTATGGAGAGCCTATAAACGATTATATCCTTTCTCGCCCCCCCTTCTAACCAACTACGAAGTCGTCCACTCCCTGTGCAAAATAAAAAAAGGTACTTACCGTCCTGAGGTATGTCCATGATTGTGACGTTAAGAGGATCCACGAAGTTAGGATCGATTGTACATGTGCCTGCGACCCGTCCATCTGCCGAAACTACCCTCGGAAGAGTGGAGACCCACTCCAGATCTGGTAAAAGTAAATGGAAATGTTAGTCAAAAGACCTCGGCAGGCGACCGGTTGAGCAAGGCAACCTAAACGAGGTGATGAGGGCAAGGGTGGTTACGGATGGAATTTGAACACGAGACATCGCCAGTTAAAACTTCTCCCTCCACAACATGGTGGGCATCCGTTTCGGCTACTAACCGCACGGCTATCCACCGCTATGCCGAAGTAGTTTCGACAGCTTTCAGTGACCCAATTCGTGATGCACACGGCGCTATCGGTGGCGAAATAAGAAACACGGACTTCGTTGGTAAAAACATTTAACGGCTGTAACTCTAGTTAGTTTGGCTTGGATATTTATCATTGGCAAATAGCTTGCGATCAGTATTGGTAAAATGGATGCAAAATTGAGTTGGCTTTTCTGCTGTCGTCATACAGGCAAGATGAATGAAAGCCACTGCTGTGTGAAACGAGGGCGTTTGAATACCAGATAAGTGCCGGTGATTTAAGTCAATTTCAAGGTAAGACTGGTCAGTAATACCACGGGATACAAAACGGTTTCTCTTGAATGTACATACCTGAAAAATATGGTATCTAAAGGCGATGGAGGCTGCCACACAAATAATTACCTTTTATGCTTAATATCGAACTCACAAAAAGAGCACACGGCCTACGCAGACATCACTTCCGGTAAAGACAAGGGACACTGAAAAAAGACATTTCTGGTTCGTTAGGTGTCATCAGCCAGTCATACCCAATCCCAACCGGTGCCCCACCCGAGGCTGGAGCCCCCGGCTTCTTGATCAGAAGTCTAACACTCTAACCCTTCACCCACGGGCTCGTTGTCTTGCCGGCTTAGATCGGGAGATATTGAAACTCAGTGATGAACGTTCAGCGATGGCTAACGGGACTCACTCGTCCCAACTCTGCCTTCGGGCTCATCCTCGAGCCCCGCCAGCAGCCGCACAGCGGCGAGTAGTGTAGACAGATAGCGCTGCCGGGAAAAATAAGGGAAGCGGGAATGACCATTTCTAGAAGAAGTCGTAGCGTTTACCGGGATCGTAGCTTTATTCATCTGAGCTTTCGGGCTCTTGCGGGAATCCATCGTCAGCGATAAACCGTCAACGAAAAGCGAGCAACAGTTATAGGCGGCAGGAACCAATCAACTGTTAGAGGGGA